TATATATAATCGTCCGCGGACATGCTCCGTGAAAATGTTCGGGCCACTGGAAGCCCGGATGTATTTTTACAACACGTGCATCACTCCTTCCGATATAAATCTGAAGGAGATAGGCAAACAAGCTTAAGCCTGTCGAGAGCCACCAAGCGGCCAGCAAATGATGTTATTTCAGTAGACATTAGCTTCACACCAACCAACGAAGTACTTTTGTAATGTTTCAATTATTCTGCTTTCTAGTATAAATACCGCACTCTGTCGTTCGGTCATACCTGCTGGGATAGTTCCAGTCGAAGTGGATGAACAGTAGGTGGAGATGCAGCAGAAGCATACTTCTGTTGTTGAAAATTAGAGTAGACTAGTCGTAGCTTACTCGTCTCTTCGCTACTGATACCTGAATGGAGTGCTTTTGTCCGGTATGTCCGATTCTGCCTGTGTAGGTGCGTCCACAAGTTGGAAATCTGTGCAAGTTTACTAATGTCGAGATGTCTTTTAGCAGTTGCTTACGAATTCATCGTTCCGGTATCACGGTGTAGCAAGTCTCAAAATGAGCCGGGTTTGTGTGTGAAGCCTTTCTGTAGGTGCCCTTGTTCAGGCCCAGATTTCTTCATGACCTTAGGTCAGACTTATTGTTTTAAAAACTCCCTGAAGCCCTCTGTTGTAGTTTTGGTCTTTTCCGGCCTGGCGGACAATCCACGGGCCCTTGTCGCATTTGTTTGAGAATGCGATCCGGTGATGAACATGGTTTAACTAGCGCAGCTGAATGGATCAACATAACTTCGAATCCTATTTCGGGTGGCTACCTCAATGCTTGTGTCAGTTATTAATAATCAACGAAACCGGAGTACGATATCTGCATACGCGTGTGTTTTATAGGCCAGGGCATACGCGTCAGGCTTTGCCTTTTAGCTTTTCATCATCCTTTTCACTGACCGCGACATCATATGTGAACATTAGAGCTTGTTTTGCACAGCCCTGTCACTCTACCTTGAAAATAAAGAAATGTTGCAGGAGGGTGAACCTGGAGTTTGAATAATTGAGGGTATGTTCAAAGACTAGTCCTGTCGCATGACTTAAAACTTTGTGGGCGAGGCACGTGCCGGAGGACAAGTAATACTAACGCCTCGTATTATTTCTAAAGAATGGGAGTGCTGTCTGCATACTTCAGGTGAACGAGGTTATCTCTCACCTCATTATCTGACCGATAACGAAACTGAACGAACATACGGACATCACTGCTTGTAGAAAAGCTTTTGAAGAGCACCACATGTATGTGAATACAAAGAGCGCATCGTATTCACGCACTTTTGGGGCATACCCTCTTGCACACGCGTGTTGAAAATAACTGATTGGCCGACAGAATCGAACACACTCTTTAAGTAACGAAACACCAAGATTGTAAGGCGCCTATACTCATGTCATTGCTTCACCATTCGATGGAGTGCGAAGATATGCTCCACACAGTACCTTCCCGGCCGTAATCCTACTTTCTTTTCTTGAGCACCCTGTTCACGCGCCTTCGCGACACAAGCATTCTAGTTACAGACGAGGGTTAAGCTATTCTGTGAATACCGCACCCATTGCGAGCACTTTCTGAAAACGGGTACCACTGTCAACTCACTCCACTCACGGTCTCTTTCTCCTAGATAGAGACAAATAAGTTAGACAAGTACAGACTGAAAATTCTGCTCGTATCTTTGAGCAAACTAGGTGGGAGTTCGTCAAGACCAGCAACTCGGTGACGTTTGCGAAACAACAGGCATTAAGTCATTTCCGAAGTCATCAGCGATTCCAAGTTTGCTGTCCCGATTTGCTTTGCCGATTGGTAATCCGGTTGAGCAACCACCAATGGCCGGTTGGATTGATCTCCAAAATGTTCAGACCAGAGATTCAGACACTTCTTCACATTTAAGTGAATCGCAGTTATCAGTGATTGTTGCGCTCCCAAACGCATCTTTTGGCCTGTTATGCGTATCACTTGGAATAGTTTACGCACTTTCCGAGTTTCTTTCCTCCTCTATCCCTTCGGATTTCTGGATCCACAAAACTTCTCGATCCCTGCAGATGCTCTTTTTCACTTGAAGTCAAGTAGTTCCTCAAGTGGTAATGTATCCTCGATCATGACGAATACGGCCGAGCTTCGGGCAATTTGAGAGTGTTGCTCGAGGTCCAGTTCTCAGGTCTGTTTGGTTGAGCCATTCCAAAAACGGAGCGTCCAGCATCTTGCATGGGTACGGAGAGTATCTTCCAGTAAGGCTCAACATCAGGAGACCTGCTGTCCGAAGAGGCCTTGAGGTGGTTCTTGTAGCCTTGTTTCAAATCATAATCCGAACGCTTCTCGATGGACAGCCGAAGTTTGCGCATCTGTTCACCGTTGTCCGTGCGTCTAGCTCCGAATCCTAGACCACCTATTTGAGCTCTTAGCCTACTGCACCAAGGCATTCCAAGTGACTTAGAAACTCTTTGAGTTTATCATATCTACAGTCTATTAGGGCTTAAGTGAAAAGGTGACGAGTATCGGAGTGTCTACGGGATACTGTCACAGGCGTTGCCAAATGAATCGCACAGAGGCGACTTACAACGGGCAACCATTCGATCAGAGATCAGAGACTTGGCCTTTTCTAGCGGTGGAACAGATGTGTCTTCGGGTGTTCGACAATGCCTCAGAATCACAGCTCGTGTGAATTGGTGTCGGCGAATCCGTAACGGGTGTGCAACGGCTACTTCCATTAAAGAATATGTCCAGCATCAGAAGCAGCGTTTGTTTGGGACATGTTTTGCGTATACCGAGCTAACTTTCGCTGCGCCGAGTGCTGTTTTCCATGCCCAACTCAGAGTGGCGAAAGCAGAGAGGTGGCCACCCCTTGACTTGGCAAAGGGGTATGAAGGAGATCGCGAACCGCTTGTGTGCTGTCGGTGCTACTCGCCTTCTAGGATGGGGACCGCGTGGTCCCCACTGCGCCTGGTTAGAGACACCATTCGCCATGTGCACGAAGCATTGTGATAACTAAAACCCGAAAACGAATGAGTCCTCTACTCTGATGGCAATCCGTTCAGAGCGAGTGATTTTTAAGTGAGAACATTATTAGGCAGCTACCTATCGCTAAAGCTCATGTTCATAGTATGCTTCAGGTATAATGGAGCCACGCGCAAACAGGAACTTGGGGGCATACAGAGATGGCTGCACTATAGAGGATTCAAAATTCCTTTCCTTCTTCCACACCAAAAACATCAATTTCTGGCACATTTCCGTCGTAGGAGGCTGCAGTTTAAAAGTCAGGTATGTTTAATCGATATCTCAGTCATCAACTGCCGGCGCGTAAGTTCCAGATCTCATGCCATCTTCCATCAACTGTTTTGCGACGAAGCGAACAAAGTATCAACCTGGTTAATGGAAAGGGCGACTCGATGATCTTAGCTAGAGCCATTCGGACAACATGGAAGCAACTGGTCTGTTTTTTTTCAGTTCCACTAAGTACACGACTTATCTCGTTTATGATGGTCTCCAACGGAATGTGCGGCATGATATTCGAGATGTCTCAATGAGACACACTACTCGTAAGCTTGCCGAAAGTTCCTCGATAACCCACAAGCTGTTCCGCCCGTACTTCCCGAATTTCTGTGACCGAAAATTACGCGTATTTCGTGAAGCACACTTGTTTTCAAACCGGTTTGGTTTGACCGGGCGGCTTGACTGAATTGTAGCCGAATCTCTGTAGTTTGCGATTGAGTTTATTCCGCGAACTGCGTGAAACTTGGGCTGAAGTAAAACATAAACGTTACTGAAACTGGGGAACTATGGCTACCTTAGAAACTCCAAGAATGGCATTCTCGGTCGTGGGATGTCGAAGATTGGTGTGTTTCATTGAGACCCGTTCAATCATCACTGATCTATTCCTACGTTGGCGTTAGAGTAGAATGAACAATAGTTATAAAAGAGAATGTTGGTAGCTCAGGTAGCATAGATTGTCGCTGGTTTGTTCGCTGAGCTGGGAAATTTGATTGCCGACGTTTCATCACCAATCGATGTGAGATCATCAGTGCGTTGTTAGAGAGCGTGGTGGTTGGTGGTTTTGCAACCACAACCACCACCAACATTATCCAGTAGCTTAGACAGCGCGCCAATCCAGCTAACATCCTTATGCCCAATTAAGTCGTTCGAAAATCCCTTAGGAGAAGATGGCCATGTTATAGACTCCCATTCGAGGGAACCCCCTCCCAAGTTCCCGATATTTTTCGTCAGCGAGTTGATCCCCCTAATCTGTGTGAACGACGTAGGTGGTTGTTCAGTCGGTCACGGGGCTTCGCCCTCGGATCAGTCCAGATGCCTCACATAGGGATGATGAATCCGTATTAACTAGTCAGGTTCTGGCATTGGTGGTGGTGCAGTTGTTGAATGTAGAGCTCCAACTGTGGTAACGGAAACGCTAACGGAAATCTGCCGGCAGGCTCGGTGGATTATGCTTATTTTTAATTCACAGCTGGATTTTTCTAGAAAAGACGCTGTCAAACTCGTGATCCCAAACTCTTGCGGTATAGCTTCTAGTTGCCGTGATCTGGGTAGTAAGTTGGCATTATGAATCGACTCAGATTAGACGTGTGATTTACACAAACCTCTAGATGACCCAAGAACTTATGTTACTCTTTATTCAAGATTGATTTATTCAGTGTAAACGTCGTTTCTTTCGGTTACTACTAGAATTTTGCCACATAACACCCATCTAATTAGTGACAAAAATATCCCATCTGGATGCAAAGAACAAGGTCAGTAGACAACCAAGCAATTGCCCTCTGTGTCAAATAATTCTCAGAATAACCCACTTTCTTCTTTACAGCATCATGAGTGTCCAAGAGGTCCCGGGCTACTACTACGATAAGGAGAAAAAGCGGTACTTCAAAATTTTAAAACACGAGCTTCCAGAATTTACTTCCCGTTCAAGTGTGAACACGAAAATAGCGTCCGAGATAAATGCCCGCAAGTTAGACCTGATAAGTGGCCGTATACGTAGTCGAGAACACTTTAATCTGCTGCGTTCGCTTAATGCTCGCGAACGCAATGCCTGTTGGTCTGCAAGTGACTTATGTACGTAAGTTTGTGTCTACTCTGCTTGCAGTATGCACTTGTTTTGGAATACCGCACCCTGATACCATGATTTATTGTTTCACTGTTTTTGACATTTTCATTTTATCATTGTTTTTTATTATTAAGAATCACAGGAAGTCTTGTTGTTTCTGATAAAGTGGTGTTACGGTGTCGCTATGATCTGGTCGGATCGCCGCCGAACACTTGGATACCTTCCCAGGAACGCCTACTGCTCACTGGACAAACTTGTCTTACTTTTCTAATCCCACGGGAGCTTTCTTTCCAGACTCCACTGCCACTTGTATCCTGGACGTAGGTTTTTGTCAGTGACTTACCATTGAGTCCACCTTGTTATCCACCAACTAGCAGCATTTCACCTAGTTACGGTGGACATTTGAGTCGTTTCTAATCACCTTGTCACTACATTCGTTATCCTCCTAGGGAGTAAACCCATGAGGCTGGCTAAACCCGGAGAATTTTTTCTATGGGGGATTTGATGTTGACCATGTTGACCCACAATGTATCAACTGTTGCCTACCTTATTATCCTGTCGTCTCCAAACCTAATAGATGCGTGTTAGTTGCATCACATTGGATTCCCTGAGCATTCGAAAACATTAAATATTACTGGTCGATCCTGCGGTTTTGGAGTTCTGGGCTGGTTGATGCAGTTCGTTTTCATTTGTGGTCTTTCAGACAAACGCCATCTAGCAGCAAAGCTGATATATGAATAAGAATTACCTCAATGGTTAGAGCGCGAATTTACTGACCGGAAGGTCCTTGGTTCGAACCCGACCTCTACCTCTCGACTTCCCCTAACTAGGGGCAACCTTGTGGTATCCCAGCCTTTATGCTTCCTTCGGGTAGCCGGGCAGCTAGGCACCGAAAGGGTGTTACAGTTGAACGATTTATTTATTTTTATATCGGATATTCCACGTTTTGTTTACTAACTAGGCTAATGCAGATTGTGTGGGTGAACAGAGTCCACACAAGGTTGTAACCATGGCTGTTCTCTGGGTATGGTCCCGTAACTAGAAGGGTTTATGATTGTACTGCATTTTCTCTAAGAGCACCAGACCTAAAGCTGCCACCTTGACGTGGTGGTCGGGCTTGAGCACTTTAATGATCCCGTGGGCTATAGTGGCTGGAACGTCGTTCCACAAGGTGTGGGCTATACTGGAACGTCGTTCCACAAGGTGTAACCATTCCAGGAAGGCCAAAGGGGAGCAGTCACACCAAAAGCAGCGAGACCCCGTCCGTATAATCGTGCTACGAGGTGGTCTGGGAGTAAATTCGTACTGTCCTATACGACAGGAGTGTGCAGGTAGTGAGGCGTTCCTAACAGGCGACCAGCGTGTTCATAGTTATGGAAGCACCGATGCTGTCTTCCCCCGAAGAATGGCGGGTTAGAAAAGGTCGGTCCCAAAAACCGCACACTCCGATCGCCCTACGGTCGACCGTGACCAGTGGCGCGTTATTCAGTACGGTTGAAGTACCCTTGAAACCAAAGAGTCCGGTGCTGCTCAAATGGCACCTGCTATGCGCATCCGCGTCAGGTGTGTGTGGAGAGCCACAATTCAAGACTGTCGTTCCTTCTGGGGCACACCACTTGATTCTGACCACATCATGGTGCGCGCACGTCTGCTTCCCTTCAGGCCCCCGCAAGTCAGCAAGAAGGCGCCAGTCCACTATCTTCGAAGAACTACCATAGCCCAACAGTATCTGAGCTAGCCGAACAACTCCTCACGCTAAACGGATACTGTGGTGGTAACGAGCATGTGGATGAAGCACGGCGAATTTTGAAAGGAGCTACACTAGCGGCGTTCACTACTTTCTTATCGACTTCTCCGACTCGACCGCAAGATAGTCCTGATCGATGCCAGGAAATGCATACCAGGAAATAACATGTACGACGGCGCAAACCCTCCAAACGCCAAATAGTGAAGAGTCTAAGGAAGGACCGAAAGCTCTGGTGGACATTGAAAGCTCGGGAGACAGAGAAGGGTTTTGTTACGGGAAACAGCCGTGCCCTATATCAACTGACACGATCGACTGGCCTCGGGAAAGTAACACATAGTGAAACGGTAAGTGAAAAATGTCGATTGGAAAGATCTGCCGAACACTTCGAAGAACAGTTTAGCTGGCCTTCTGCAACCCAGCTAGTAATGATTGTGCATACGGCTAGATGAAATGTGAACCTTGATCGTCCGTCGGAAGAAGAAATAAAGTATGAAATATCCATACTGAAATCACAAGTACTGGACGGTCTGTATCCAGCCCTTTTCAAAGAAGGAAAATCCCTGGTGACCCATCTGACAAGACTAATTGGTGCTATATGGAGTGAAGAGAAAGTGCCTGCAGAATGAGGCATGACGACAGTTACCCTATCTTCAAAAAAGGTACGCGGACACTGTGTGAAAACCACCGTGGCATCAGCCGGGCAGTTGTGGCATCGAAAGTCCCCTCTGGTTTTATCTTTTGACGGTTGATTGAACACAGGGAGGGGTAGATCCGTGAAAACCAAGCGGGGTTCCGTCCTGAAGGAGATCGACCACCCTTCGACAGATTCTGGAACAGCGACACTGCTTCCAGCAACCACCGATGGTTGCGTTCTTTGATCTGCAAGCTGCCTTTGAATCTTCGAACTGCCAAGCACCATGTCAGTGAGTGTGGAGCAAAGGTGTCCCTCATAAATTCTTCACCCTCCTTAAGGCGCTGTACACAGACTTCCACGGCCGTGTAAAGGTCCACAGGAAGCTCGTCAGAGTTCACCACACCAAGCAGTGTCAGGCAGG